GAGGCAAGTGATAGAAGGAGGCCTCAAAAAGAGGAGAGCCCTTCAACAATGTTGAAGAGGGGCTCAAAAAAAGTTATTTCACAGTTTATGGAAAGGTCCAAAACAGCTCACAAATAGGCCTAAAATACTATGCAAAAAATTGGCCTAAAAAAGAGTTTAAACACAAAGGGTGATGAGGGGACCTCAAAAAGAAAAATACCCTTAATCAAACATGGAGATGAGCACAAAATATGACTATTTACAATTTGGGTCAGAGCCCAAAAATGCTAGCAAGTATGGCTTAGATACAAAGCAAAATAAGGCACAAAAGAGGGAAAATGGGACTCACCCTTGTAGAACCACACTTCAGCAGCCTTTGGACCAGGCTTGTGAGCTCTCAACCTCTGGAAATCAGCCTCAAATAGTTGGAATGTATGATGGTGGTGTTATGCTATGGGTTGGTGTAGAAATGGTGTAGGAGCAAGGTGGTTTTGAGGCTTGGAGTAGAGAGAGAGGGAGATTGAATGCAAAAGCCCTAAACAATTTTTTGTAACCCTCTAAAATGCAGCTGGGGGTGCTGGTTATATAGGCAAAGGAATTGAGGAAAGGAGGAAAATGAAATTCAAATTTCCCCCCAAAAGACCCCCCCTCGGATACAGGATCTGAGGGGGAATAGAGGGTACAACTTCGGATACAGGATCTGGGGAGAAACAGAGGGTGCAGCTGTAAGTAACCAGGTGAGAGGGTCATGGCCGGCCAGGTTTAGAAAGTTCAGGGGGCCGGCCGACCACCTCCCATGGCCGGCCGACCAAGGGTCAAAAGGGTCAATGACAATTGCTGGTCGGCCACCTCAGAAAGGTGGCCTCCCATGTGTGCACAACACAACTATGTGGTTGAAACCCAGAAAAAGTGAACCAGGAGAGAGAAAAGACCATTTTTTAGAGGGGGTCAAAAGGGTCAGGCACAATTACTGGTCGGCCACCAAATATTGGTGGCCTCTTAGGTGTGTACAACACAAATATGGGGTTTAGGGTTCAAGAAAGTAGCCCCGGGGTGGTCAACATTGGTTTTCAAGTGAGGAAAACGGGCGTCGGAGAGCGATGAAGGAAAAAAAGCTGGCTTTCGGAACAATTGCTGGCCTCCCACCCTCCTACAAGCTTCCTAACTATGAAAATAAGGTCTCCACCAAAAATGAACCAAAACGGATGGAAAACGGAGGTTCGGGGGACTGAAACGCGTGGCCCGGGGCCCCGAAAATGGGTTGTTAAGCACCAGAGGTGGCGTTCGACCACGAAGTTGGTCTCTCGGGCCACAGTGTTCCTCAAAAGGGATGAAATAAGGTGTATGCCAAAAACCGGAGCAAACGAAGGTGGTTAGGCGGTCCCGAACCGAGGCACACGGCTGTCAGCTCCGAAAAATCGGAAACCGGGCTCCAAACAGGAAAAATGGCCTACGACCACAAAACGTAGCCTACAGCCGTTGAGAAATGATCTATGAGACCTCTCCCTCCCTTCAGGAAGAGAAAACAGAGCCTGGTTCGCAAACCGAGGCAAGGCACGGAAGAGTCCCGAAGTTTGGAGGCAAGGCTCGCAGCCGAGACTCCGAAACTTCTGAATGAGCACAATATGCAATATCACCGAGCGCTCAACTGGTGACGTCTGAGTCTTAAGGTCGGTCAAAAATGGGGTGTCTACAGTTGCCCCTCTTTGACCGAACTCGGAAGTCATAAGTGACAGGAGTGAATGTCAAAGCCCAGAGACGACCCATTTTTGACAAGGCCGAAGACTTAGACATACAGGCAAGACAAACAGAGATGTGCCCGCAGGCACCCCCGCAAGCAGGGACAAAATGCAACCAACAATGCAAGAAGCCGAAGGTATCTCAATGATCATGCAAATGCAGCAAGCTGTAATGAAGCACATATTCACAATAGATGCAACAGTTTTAAGCAAGAACGTAAAGCAACAACTACATTTCATGCAGTTAAGAATGCGGAGAATTATTCAATTCTCGCCACGTCTCACACGGAGAAGATACGATACCTGCGCGGTTCGTCTGGTCGCACCAGCCTCAAATGAACTGTACATACAATATCGTGCCTGCAAAAGAAAGAAACGCGACAAGCACAACATAATTAGCAACACATGTTCAAAGCGATATTGAATGCAGACAATCGCGGCGTCGATAGAAAAGTGCATCGCTATGCGAGGAGTAACGTGCGTGACAACGCGGGTTAAGCACAAGGATTTGACAACACCTGTGAAATGTGCACAATGGTATGAGTGGTGTGCATGAGAATGCAAGTGACGTGCATAACAGTGCAGAATAAATGTGAATTCGAATACGATTTTGTCGCAAAACGACGAGCAAAGAAATGCAAGTTTTCGATGAGGGTGACTCAATTGCGACCTCCGGCTTACCTCCCGGAGGGGTCGCAACATGTTAGAAAAGGATACATCTCACTTTTGACGAGTAACGATGAAAAACGTATCGAAAGTTGGAGTCGAAGTTCCGGTAGAGCGATTTCGTGACGGAAAGTGCACTTCTCTTGTACTTTTTCAGGTCCCGGGGACTCCAATCCTTCCCAAAATTTGCAGAGAGCTTGGTGGGCACTTGGGGAACACCGCCGAGCAGGTCTTGTCCCAGGGAGAGGCCACCGACAAGCATCTTGCAAAGGGGGTGGTCGGCCTGCCACAAAAGGTGGTCGGCCGACCCCCTAGCCCAAATCCGGGGCAATTTGGTCTTTTTACTCCCATTTCTTTAAATATACTCGGCCAAAGCCTCATTCCTCACAACCTCAGCGCCGAAAACACCTTCTCTACCTTCCTAGACCATTTTCCCCTTCAGATCTGAGCTCTATACGCGTTTTCCAACGCCCCACACAAGTTATTTTCGCGAAATCTTTCAGTTTTCATCACTTTGGACCGATTAAATTTTGATTTCGGTGCTTCTTTTCTCATTTTCACCACTTGAGGTAAGTTTGTCTCAACATTTGGAAGATTTCCTCGGGGGTTGACTTTTGTTGACTTTTTCATTTCCCGAGAGTTGACTTTTGTTGACTTTTTTTCAATTTTGGCTCATTTTGCTCCCTTTTGCAGATTTTCTGAAATGGCCGGTCATTTTCCTCACGGTGGAGGTCCTCCGGGCGCTGGGGATGATCCCGATATTATGGCTCTGCCTCCGAGGGTTCGACCTTTCATACCCGAGAGGTACGCCCCTCGGGCACATATCCTCCCACGGGCTATTTTTTATCACTTCACTGATTTTGATGATCAAGCGCCTGGGGATTTGCTTTTGCGAGAGCCAAAGTCTCACCTCTCTCATGAGGCACGAGAGGTATTTACTTCGCCTTTTTTACATTTCTGCAACGTATTCCGCATTTTTGTACGTTTCATGTCTCTTGCTATGCATATCTGCTCCTTTTAGCACGTAGCTTGTTCTGATGCTTAGCCCATGATACAGTATTCTGTTTGCGTTTTGAACGCTTGAATTTCTGATTATGTAGCCTATAACCTGATGGTGAACACACAGCACACATATATGTTGACAGTTGAACACACAGCCCAAACTCTGAATTTCTGAACACGCGGCCCAAGTTGAAGGTGAGCACACAGCACACACTTGTTGAGAGTAAAACACACAGCCCATTGTTGAGGTGAACACACAGCCCACTGATTTGTTGAGAGTAGAACGCACAGCCCAAACTCTGAATTTCTGAACACGCAGCCCAAACTCTGAATTTCTGAACACGCAGCCCAAACTCTGAATTTCTGAACACGCAGCCCAAACTCTGAATTTCTGAACACGCAGCCCAAACTCTGAATTTCTGAACACGCAGCCCAAACTCTGAATTTCTGAACACGCAGCCCAAACTCTGAATTTCTGAACACGCAGCCCAAACTCTGAATTTCTGAACACGCAGCCCAAACTCTGAATTTCTGAACACGCAGCCCAAACTCTGAATTTCTGAACACGCAGCCCAAACTCTGAATTTCTGAACACGCAGCCCAAACTCTGAATTTCTGAACACGCAGCCCAAACTCTGAATTTCTGAACACGCAGCCCAAACTCTGAATTTCTGAACACGCAGCCCAAACTCTGAATTTCTGAACACGCAGCCCAAACTCTGAATTTCTGAACACGCAGCCCAAACTCTGAATTTCTGAACACGCAGCCCAAACTCTGAATTTCTGAACACGCAGCCCAAACTCTGAATTTCTGAACACGCAGCCCAAACTCTGAATTTCTGAACACGCAGCCCAAACTCTGAATTTCTGAACACGCAGCCCAAACTCTGAATTTCTGAACACGCAGCCCAAACTCTGAATTTCTGAACACGCAGCCCAAACTCTGAATTTCTGAACACGCAGCCCAAACTCTGAATTTCTGAACACGCAGCCCAAACTCTGAATTTCTGAACACGCAGCCCAAACTCTGAATTTCTGAAAAAAGTGCACTTTTCTTGTACTTTCTCGGGTCCTGAGGACTCCAATCATCACCAAAATTTGCAGAGACCTTGTAGACCACCTTGGGAACACCACCGACCAGGTTTGGAGTCCAGGGGAGGCCACTGACCAGGTTGGAGTGCAAGGGGTGGTCGGCCTACCAGAAAAGGTGGCCGGCCGACCACCTAGCCCAAATTTGGGGCAGTTTGGTCCTTTTGCTCTCATTTCTTTAAATACACAAAGCCAAACACTTTTTGCTCATAACATCAGGTCCGAAATCAGTCCCTCTCCCTTCCTAGAGCATTTTCCCTCTCAAATCTGCGCTCTATACGCGTTTTCCAACGCCCCACGCAAAGTTGTTTCGTGAAATCTTTCGGTTTTCTTCACTTTGAACCGATTAGATTTTGATTTCTGTGCTTCTTTCTCCATTTTCACCACTTGAGGTAAGTTTATCTCAACATTTGGAAGATTTTCTCGGGTGTTGACTTTTGTTGACTTTTTCCTTTCCCGAGAGTTGACTTTTTCCAATTTTGGCTCATTTTGCTCATTTTTGCTCCTCTTTGCAGATTTTTCGAGATGGCGGGTCATTTCCCTCAGGGTAGAGGTTCTCCAGGTGCCGGAGGCGATCCAGATATCATGTCTCTACCACCGAGGATTCACCTCTTTGTTCCCGAGAGGTACGATCCCCCGACGCGCATCCTCCCACGGGCAATTTTTTATCATTTTACGGACTTCGACGATCGAGCCCCGGTGGATCTTTTGCTGTGGGAGCCGGAGTCTCACCTCTCCCATCAGGCACAGGAGGTATGTACTTCACTTTTACACTTTCTGCCATGTGTAACATAGTCTGCATTTTCCGTGCATTCCCCACTTTTGCCATGCTTATCTGCTCATTCTAGCACATAGCTTGTTCTGAACACTTTAGCCTTAGACACAGCAGTCTGTTTGCATTTTGAACACACAGCTTAATCACTTGAATTTCTGAACACACAGCCCATAAATTGATTGTGAACGCACAGCACACACTTGTTGAGAGTAGAACACGCATCCCAATGCTTTTGAAATCTGAACATATAGCCCAAGTACTTGATGTTGAACACACGGTTCAAACTTTGAGGTGAACACATATCCCACTGATTTTGAAATCTGAACACACAGCCCAAATACTTGATGTTGAACACACGGCTCAAACTTTGAGGTGAACACACAGCCCACTGCTGAACACACAGCCCAAACACTTTGATGTTGAACACTCGGCTCGGACTTTGAGGTGAACACACAGCCCACTGGTTTTTGAAATCTGAACACATAGCCCAAACATTTTGAATTTTGAACACGCGGCTCATTGCTGAGGTGAACACACAGTCCACATTGATTGAGAGTCGAACACGCAGCCCGAACACGTGAATTCTGATTTGATTTCGCATATAGCTTATACATTTCATTTGCACGCAGCTTCTTTATTTCATTCTAAAACTGAATATATGTATTCACCGTGAATGCAGGTGTCCTCCCGTGTTACACGGGGATATGGCTCCATTGTTGCGAGAGATTGGTACGCGGAGCTCCCAGAGGCCGTCCGCGATTGGGTTGATCTAGCAGGATTCGGGCCTTTTTGTGCCGGGATATCTCGTTATCCAACTAGCAGGACGTTGATGGGCACCCTGGTGGAGAGGTGGTGGGACACCACCAACTCCTTTCATTTCTCATCCACCGGGGATATGACCATGACCCCGTTCGATTTTGCCATATTGACCGGCCTTGATGTGGGAGGCTGGGCGATCCCATATGACGAGGATATGGGCCAGTGGGAGGCCGCTTGGATCTATTTACTAGGAGCTCGTCCACCGGTCGATCGATCCTCGGGCCGAGTCCGGTACACTTGGTTTTCTTCATATTTTAGGCATACTGAGCCCGAGACTCTGGAGGAGATTACACAGTACGCCCGCGGGTTTCTAATGTTCCTCTTCGGGACCACTCTGTTCTCCGACAGGGGGAACACCGTTGGGCTATATCTGCTGGGTGCCCTGCAGGCCTCACACAAGTTAGTCGGTATGATTGGGGTGGCGCCAGCTTAGCTACCCTTTATTGCTATATGAGCGCGACCTCCCGCGGGCAGGGGAACATAGTTGGCGGCTACTGGAGAGCCTGGGAGGTATCTTCTGCCCTCTTGATTTATATTTCTGCTTTTCAATGTATGTATATTGTACACACGGCACACTTTATACTCTGTCCTGACATCCTGCACTCAGCATTCTGTATTCTGATGGCTTTTGCCCCGTTTTCCGCAGTTGTGGGTTTTCGCATATTTTCCCATACTAGCGCCAGAGCTGGAGGTGGAGGCGCCCCTTGTGACCCCTTACTCGCTTGTTTTCGAGGGCCAGTACCGGCCGCGGCCTCGGGAGACTCTTCTCTACCTACGGCAGTACTTCGACACGGTGCGGCCGTCAGAGGTAATCCAAAACTCCTAATTCCCAATGTTTTCATCTTTGGTTTATTCCGTGCATCTGCGATTTCTGATCAGCCTATGCATTGGTTACCCGCAGATTACCTGGCAGCCCTGGTTGCCTTTGGATGGGGACCTTCGATTTCAGTTTGACGGAGGGTGGGGTTCTTCCCGGTATAGGATCTAATTCGAGGGGCCAGTCGGTAGGGCTTGGTTCCTGGGGGAATGCTTCCTTCGTCAAACTATGGGCTTTCTTGAGCCGAGTGTTCCCTCAGCACCTCCAGATGGTATGCGGCTCGCTGATAGGCTCACTCCCCAGGGTGTCATTGACGCTAGGCTGGGCACTGATGCACTGCTGTATATAGAGGACGGGGAGTACGCGACCTACCATCACACCTACTTGATGCCTCCGTTGACAGGTGTCCGTACTCCCTCGAAGAGGTCCATTGACACGCCGTCTTTGAGTCAAGCTCGGGCTACAGGTCCCCCTTCTACTAGCAGGGCTGGCACATCGAGAGGAGGGGTTGGACTGGTCCCCCCGATTCCTCCGACTCATCATCATGCCGGATGGCCAGACATGCCGACCGAGTTGACAGGATGGCGATACGGGACCTCCTACCTGATTCTGATAGAGCCTCCCATGCCTGATCATCGATATGCCATTGATCCCGACTCACCGCCGGTATGCCCCCACTGCTTTTCATCTATCATTCAAATACTTAGACATTCCTTTATTCATTGATGATTTGAGCTTGTATTTGCAGCCACCCAAAGAGTACATGGAGGGGGTGATCGGATTGGGGGCCTCACTCGAGGGCATGGTCTTGCGGAGAGAGGCGCAGCTGTCCATCATGGGTTTCCAGGTACTCATTAGTTTTCTCACATTTATCGTACTTCTGACGACATGTTGATCTTGAACATTTTACTGCTTTGATTAATTGTATGTGTAGAGCACATCTGACACATCACATTCATATACTGTATCTGCATGCACCCTCATTTCATGTAGTTTGCTTGCATCTGTATCTGATACACACATTTTGAGCTGATGTATTCAAATTGCACTTTTATTTTCAGATGCCTCGAGTATATCCGCCGCAGACCGGGCCATCTCGACCTTCTCGGGGAGCCGGGCCATCTCGGCCTTCTCGCGAGGCCGGGAGAGTGAAGTCGTCCCGCAGACGCAGGGCACACATCGTAGAAGAGGAGTCTGATGAGGACGAGGAGGAGGAGAAGGCTATAGATCGTCAATCAGAGACCTCTGCTGACAGAGAGGAGGGTTTCGACCCTGGTTCCGGGAGTGGAGAGGAGGCTGAGGAGGATCCTGAGGATGACAGTTCCGACTCAGATGGTGCCGGTGGTGCAGAGCCTGTTCCGCAGAAGAGGACGAAGAGGGTCCTCTTATTCCTGCTCTTGAGAGCATTGGTGCAGCTGTTTCCTGCTTTATTTATCTTTTTTTCTAATAGTTGTAGCACATTGTACATTATTAGGTAGTTTTATTTTCTGTAAAACTTGTACCTTTGCTGTAAAATGTTGTAACAAAGAAAGCATGATGGAATAAAACAGCTTTTTTGAAAAAGTGTTGTACTTTATGTTCTCAACATCGCATCGCATCATTTTGCAAGTAAAGAGATTGAACGGTAAATGTGCATTGTGTATGTGCCAAGTCAGGTAGTGAACCGACACGACAAACCTAACAACCTAATCTTATTGAACTTCAGCAAGTTTACAACTCGATAAGCAAAACACAACAAAATTGATAAACAAAGAGTAACAACTCAAATGCACAAAACTCGACGACTCGATTAAACAAGACTCGGTAAACGAAACAGCTTGACCAACAAAACAACAACTCGATAAGAAAAACAACAACTCGATAAGTAAGATTTAACAACAACTCGATAAGTAAGCTTTAACAACAACTCTTTAAACAAAGTGTATTTCAGACGATCTGGGCGACAGGACAGATCCAAAACTGAGGAAAACTCGCGCTTTCAACACACCCGGTACATGGAAATGCTAGGGACTTTCTTCCAAAGGGTAGAACAGGACCAAAGACATAGATTGCAGCATGGCCGGCCACCTTTTTGCATTAGAGGGAAGGGGGGTGGCCGGCCTACCAGAAAATGTGGCCGGCCGGCCACTTTGCTCAGGCACCACCAGTTTTTCGACACGTGTCCCTCCGAACAATGCCTTATCCCCTTTAAAAGTTCTAGCTCCATGGCTCATTCATTTTATCTCAGTTTTGCACCAAAATGGAAGCGTTTCTCGTCAAAAATCTCACAGCTTGGATTGCTTCTTTAGACAGCTCGGAAAAGTTGAATTTCCGGGACTTTGGCTTGAATGCACTATTCACGCTGAGCCGTACTCCGCTACACCTTCCCTTCCTTCATGCCGCGGCAAGGTTTTGGAACCCGGTAACACGTGTCTTTAGCTTCGGCGGGCAAGAGGTATGTCCAACTTTCGAAGATTTTCAAGCTTTGATGGAATCCGAGTACGCGACTTACCGTCACACCTACTTGATGCCTCCGTTGACAGGTGTTCGTACTCCCTCGAGGAGGTCCACTGACATGCCGTCTTTGAGTCAAGCTCGGGCTACAGGTCCCCCTTCTACTAGCAGGGCTGGCACATCGAGAGGAGGGGTTGGACTGGTCCCCCCTATCCCTCCGACTCATCATCATGCCGGATGGCCAGACATGCCGACCGAGTTGACAGAATGGCGATACGGGACCTCCTACCCGATTCTGATAGAGCCTCCCATGCCTGATCATCGATATGCCATTGATCCCGACTCACCGCCGGTATGCCCCACTCCTTTCTATCATTCAAATACTTAGACATTCCTTTATTCATTGATGATTTGAGCTTGTATCTGCAGCCACAGGTAATGTTTCCCACCCAATCTCGCATTTCTGTTTTGCTCACATCACTCGGCCCTCAAGCTCGGTCTTTTCTCACAAAACCCTATTCTCACTTTTCTCTCCTCGTACATCTCTCTATTCTTTATTCTCTCATTTTTCATCCCTTCCCAGGAATGGTTGATGGACAAATTGCAGGTTCTGGACTCTTGCCCAGCCTACTCAGCTCGCGGCTACTTCTTTCAGAAATGCCTAGTCGATGCCTTTGATGAGGGATAGTGGTTCGACTGGATGTACAATTTGTCTGCAGATCGCATCGCCTAGCGCTGCCCTTGGCTCAATCTCCCGGCAATGAGCTATAGTATGTTCCGGCAGACCGGGATCCAGTTGGTTGGTCTGACTCACTGTGTATTCTACTTTCCGTTCCTGTTCCAACGCCAGTTTGGTCATGATCAGACTTGCCCGCCAGAGGGGATAGAGTATCCGGCTTCATTCCCAGT